GCTTCTGAGCCCCTTGGTGCCCACTCTCTTCCTCTCTGCCTTGGGAAGATTTCTCCAATGTGGAGATTATTGTTGCATTTGAATAACCCAGCTTATCCTGGCCAAATGGATGAGTGGTTACTATCTAACAGCATGAACACCCAGGCAAGCTGGCTCACAGTAGCATGCAGAGATGGTAAAGGGTGCCCAGAGCTGTGACTTTCCAGCCAGGACGGAAGGTTCCCAGGAGGGCCAAGTCCTTCCTTCCCGAGGGGCCTGGTGACGCCGCCCTTCCACTGCCCAGACAGCTGAGAGGGACACAAGGTGGCCCACCCCCCAGCAATGAGGACACGGAGCTTGGTACGTATGCTAACAAAACCGGCAAGAACGTGGACAGGATGGATTCATGGGACAAGGACTTAAAACTCCAAGCTCACCTACAGGAAACCCTTCTCCCACAACGCATCTCAGGAGTCCTCTGACCACGCATCTCAGGAAGTTAATTAGCAGCTAAGGGCCAGGTGGTTGGACCTTCTCTGAGAGAGGACTGACCATTTTCCTGAAAGACTGCCCTTGATTTGACAAGTGAGAAGAGAACCAGAAAAAAAAAACCCCAATCACACTGGTAGGGATGAAGCATTCCAGCTGCTTGTGGAGCCCACTGTTGTCATCAGCAGGGTCTGAGCACTTTCTCGCCATCAGAGGTCACCTGGCACAGCCTTCCCATGTGGGTACTCTGGCCTTGGAATGACCAATTAAGTTCTTCCAGAATTAAGCCACCAGGGAGAAAAATGACTCCATTTTATCACTGGCGATCATCTCTAGCTCCGTCGCCATTTCCAGAGGCAGCCCCTGTGCCCGCCCAGGCTTGCTCTGCTCTGTGCTTTGGCAAAGCTGCAGCTCACGCAGCCCTGGGACAGCCCAGCCTCCTGCCAAACACTGCACCGGGCACCACGTCCCCCACGGATGGGAGGGAGATCCACACAGAAAAATCTGGAGGAGAGTGAGTAAGACTTCCACCAAGACGTTTACAGAAATCAGGGGGACTTTCAGTGTACACCAGTATCCCTCCTCTCGGTTTTCCAGTTGCTCTGAGGTTGGTTTCTCACCCACAGTCTTCAGTCATGGGGATGCGGCTGGCATCTCTGCCAGGGTCCCAGAGCCGGGGTAGCAGACTTCCGCAGCCTGTGTGCTGCCACAAACCCGCACCATAGAATCTCACCCACAAAACCAGCAAAGCACAGCTATGACAGGGAGGATGTGGTGTGGTGTATGCTGATGCGGATGCTGGGCTTAAATCCCTGGCGCACCGGAGGTGCGCGTTCAAAGTGAGGAAGAACAGCTCACTAGAGGCTGAAGAAGAGGCAGCGGAAGCCAGCATCCGCACTGCTTCATTTGGGGAGGGGAGGGCAGTACGAGGATGGGCAGCTTGTAGGAAAGCACAGATGTGAATGAGACCAGTCCTCACAGCCACGCCACTCACCACAGCCACACCAGTTCACAGCCACGCCAGTTCATAGCCACGCCACTCAGCACAGCCACGCCAGTTCACAGCCACGCCAGTTCACAGCCACACCAGTTCACAGCCACACCAGTTCATAGCCATGCCACTCACCACAGCCACGCCAGTTCACAGCCACGCCACTCAGCACAGCCACGCCAATTCACAGCCACACCACTCATCACAGCCACGCCAGTTCACAGCCACACCACTCAGCACAGCCACGCCAGCTCACAGCCACACCACTCAGCACAGCCACGCCAGCTCACAGCCACGCCACTCAGCACAGCCACGCCAGTTCACAGCCACGCCACTCAGCACAGCCACGCCAGCTCACAGCCACGCCAGCTCACCACAGCCATGCCAGATCACCACAGCCACGCCAGCTCACCACAGCCATGCCAGCTCACCGTGGCCACCCCAGCTCACCGTGGCCATGCCGGCTTGCTATGTGTGGGTCCCCTGCTCTCCTGACTTAGGGCTGTGTCCTGTGCAAGGGCAGCAGGGGTGATATGACTAATGAAATAGCCGCTCCACTTGACAGGTTGGAATGAGGCTGGGGGGATAGCAACTAAGGCTCAGTCAACTACAACTGCACCTGAGAACAAGGATGAGTAAACAAACCCCTGCTCAAGAAAAGACAAGCACGGGGTAAGAACAATGGGTACTGCTTTCCCCTAAAGTTTCTTGACATCAGTTTGACCAACACTGCTCAGAGCTGGCATGGGTGCCCGTGGAGGTGCGGCTGGCGGCCGGTGCATCTCACTGTGCCTGGTCTTTGCAAAGGAACAAGAATCCCCGGATGAGGTGGTGAGCGCCTGGGCTCCGCGACGCACAGTCAGAAGGAGGAGTCAGCTGAGCTCGGAAGTTCGGGGCCAGCCTGTGACACAGCAAAACCCCGTCTCCATAATGAGAACCAGACGCACACTGAAGCGTACATGCCTGCCAGCCTCTGCTGCTGCATGCAGTCTCCTCTGAAGCCACCGAGCAGAGCTAAGATCCTGCCACTCTCCTGAACTTGAGGTTCAGCACTGAGCCCATCTCCTCTCTGCACGGCTGAGGGTCTGGTGACCCTCTCCACACTAGACACCCTTGTATTTATGAACGACAGGTGCTGCGGGTGCTCAGCATGAAGAAAACCATGTGACTAGCCAATCAGCCTGCAGAGCAGGCAGAGGCAGGATGAGGAGGTGAGGCAGGTTCACTCGTACTGCGCCTCAGAGGGCGACTGGGCCGAGAGCTCGAGGCCCCTCCTCACCTCCGAGGGGACCCTGGGCCACATGGGAGAGCCACATGGAGCAGTGGCGGGACCGTGTCCCTGAGGAGGCAGATCCTGAAGACAGCAGGAGAGCCTCGGGGTAGGGAGGAGGCCACAGAGAAGGACATAGCCCTGCTCAGACAGACCACAGTGCCGCTGCAAGAGGCTGCTCAGACACAAAAGGCCTGGACATGAGGGGCCAGGATGCTGGAGAGAGAGAGGTTGGGATGCTGGAGACAGCGACTGAGATGCTGGAGACAGAGGCTGGGATGCTGGAGAGAGATTCTGGGATGCTGGAGAGATGTTAGGATGCTGGAGAGAGAAGCTGGGATGCTGGAGAGACAGAGGCTGGGATGCTGGAGACAGACCCCTGGATGCTGGAGACAGAGCCCTGGATGCTGGAGACAGAGGCCAGGATGCTGAAGAGAGAGAGGCTGGGATGCTGGCGAGAAAGGTCAGGATGCTGGAGACAGAGGCTGGGATGCTGGAGCGAGAGAGGCCAGGATGCTGGAGACAGAGGCTGGGATGCTGGAGAGAGAGAGGCTGGGATGCTGGCGAGAAAGGTCAGGATACTGGAGACAGAGGCTGGGATGCTGGAGCGAGAGAGGCCAGGATACTGGAGACAGAGGCTGGGATGCTGGAGACAGAGGCTGGGATGCTGGAGGGAGCAGAGCTGAAGAATTATCTACAATACTAACTGGAAAGTAATTGAGAGACCAGACCTTGGTAAGAAGGCACACTTTCTGAGGAACTGCCGCTCAATGTCTTCTGTCGGGATGTCTCTCTGCAGGTTCTCTACTTTTCTCAAGACACAGCACAGCCTACAGAGAGCTCCAGAGCAGCTCTCACTGCGGAGCTCTGGAGCAGAGCCTGGCTTGTGCTCCATAAGCTCATTGTTGGCTGATCAAGACTGAGTGATCACTTCCTGTCAGCTGGCCTGGCTAGAACACCTGTTGCCGTCCAGTGTAGGCTGAGGATGAACGTTCAGCCCTGCAGCACTTTTAAAAGAACACAACGCTGAACATGACCATTCTGTGGGGTCTACACAGGCACCGCATGGGCCAGGAAGGGCCTGGTGTGCCAAGAGAAGATGGGGGCTGAACCCTCGGCCCTGCGCGGCTGAGCTATGCGCCTGTTGCTGTTTATTTATGGAAATAACATTCTCCTCCTCCCGGGGAACGGTCTGTGTCCTGGAGCTAAAACTTCCTTGGGCTTTTCTTTTCCTAATAAGGCAAATTATCCCCAATAACGCAAGCGACGAGGTGGCCGTAACAGCACTCTCCCAAGATGTTTGTGCGTATGGGGTAAGCTGACCCGGCTCCAAGGCCTGCAGCCTGGCCTTCGTTTGGGAATGGTGTGAAGGCCCATCTGCTGTGACCCCACAGGAGGCCCGTGCTGCCCGCCAGCCCTTCCTCCTCCCGCTGAGGGAGATTAGAGCTGTGTGGGCCAACAGGGAGAGAAAGCCCCAGAGGAGGCAACCCCCAGCCCAGCGAACCAGGAAAGCAGAGCTGCCAGAGCCCGCAGCCCCCCTGCCCGGGGCCCTGGGACAGCAGAGACACCGCGGGACCCAAAGCCCTGGACGGTGGGCATAGACCTGGGCAGGGGAGAGCCGGGCCGCCCCCGGCGTGAGGGTGTGACTCAACCAGATGCCGAGCAGCCGCCTGGACAAAAGGTCCATAAAAGAGGAAGCCCACCCAGGAGCCTGGAGCCTCTGGGGCTGCGGGTCACCAGGGCCCGTGCCTGGTTCTCTTAGACCAAGCCGTCTGGGCGCCGCCCCCCTCGCCCGGGAAGCCAGTGGACGGCCTCGCCTGGCCTCACGTGGCTGGAAGGCGCCCCTCCGGGCCTCCTGGCGTCTCTAACGCTCCACGAAACTTCACCTCTGCTCTGCTCCTACTGTGACTGGCTCAGAATTCTCCCCTTCAGAGAAAACCCTGTCTGTCATAAAGCTCCTTCTTCTCCTGGCTGTTGGTGTCTTTTCTTCCAGTTTCTGTCACACGAGACACTTGGTACAGGGACCGCATCCCTCTGGTAGGAGGCTGACAGTGGCAGAGGGCGGCTGGGTGGTGGTGCCCTCCGGGTAGACCCGGCCGGGTGCCTTCCAGACCTATGGGGGGTCCTGACCTCACAGCCCCGTGTGGCTGGGGCTGGGCAGCTCTCACTGCCCTGCCAGCAGAGCGACACGGCTCCGGGCTCACCCTCGCTCCGGAGGGCGGCGCGCGAACTGTCCTGCGCTGACAGAGGTGAGGCCAACGCGGTACTCACCCTGCAGCTGCCGGCCTCTGTACGCGTCCCTGGCCTTGGCTGGGTGTGCCCGGGCTGTGCTGTCACACTTGGGCTGCTCGTATCTGCGGGAGGGGCGGGGAGAGGGGAGGGAAGAGAGAGCCGCCGCCTGAGACCTGGAGACACATTTGCGTCCTGACCCCAGGCCCCCAGCAGGAACACCCGCTTCCCACAGCCACCCAGGACTCAGCATGGCCTGGCGCAGCCCCAGCACCGCCTGCACCCCTCAGTTTACCCCACTCTGTCCCCCTTGACCGCGCCAACAAATCCATTCTTCTGAGGAGCCCAGGGTCCCGCCTGGGTGGGGGTGACCCACAGGGAGGGGCCAAGGGTGGGCGGGAGCCAGCACTGAGTGGGTGTCTGAGCTTCCGCGGGCGCCGCTCCAGCCCTGGCTGTTCTGATGCTAAACACGAGCAGCTGGTTGGAACTTCTGGAAGCATACCACCCTTCTCACAGGGCACCTGTGGCACACACGTCTCAGAGATACATTTGTTTTTGGAGCTCAATCTGGTCTTGGACTCGTGATCTCCCTTCCTGAACCTTCCGTGTGCTGGGATTACAGGTCTGTGCCATCACACCAGCCTGGGACAGAGTTTCACACTGAATCTTCTGACTTGGAAGGTACCTTATGACCATGTGGGTTTTGTTCCAAATGAGCCTGACGTAGCTTGAGAATGCTAGCACTGGTTCTGAATACCTAAAATCTATATTTAAGAATTCCGTCCCTTCTAAGGAGTGGTGTGAGATGTCTGTCATCTGCAGAAGACACGCTCAACGCCTTAGGGACTGAATCCAGTCTCTGGCATGCATCATCCCTCCTCTTAACAGTGTCTGGTTTAAATGTCCTTCTAAGGGTCAAGGGAACCCCCCAGCCTGACTGCCCACTGGACAAGGGCTAACTGCCATGGGGAAGCGTATGTCAAGGTGCACACGGCCACATGAAGGACGAGGGCGCTGCCCGGTCAGAGCGGGGTCGGACGAGGGCACTGCCCAGTCAGAGTGGGGTCGGACGAGGGCACTGCCCAGTCAGAGTGGGGTCGGACGAGGGCGCTGCCTGGTCGGAGTGGAGCAGCAGGTGCAGAGAGCCACTGTGCCTTCTGGAGGGGGAAGGGCTGCCTCTGTGTGGCCCTAACGAAGGGCTGGCAGCCCGCCGGAGCCCACTAGCCTGCTTCTCCTCTCGCCTCATCACTGGCCGGTGCCAAGTCCAGACCTGCCGTCCCCCTACCCCAGGCTCCACCAGGCCTGAGAGGCAGCCCTGCGGGGGCCCGCCTCCCGGCTCCGGGCCCGCCTCCCGGCTCCGGGCCCGCCTCCCGGCTCCGGGGCCCGCCTCCCGGCTCAGGCCCCCCCAGGACCACGGCAGGACGCCCATCTGACCCCACGGCCATGAGCACTGCCACTTCTCAGTCTCGTGGCCCCAGTAGCATTTGGCACTGGGAAGAACCAGCTTCTGTCTGTGTCTGGGACTTTGCCTGGGGTCTCAGGCAAGATCGACCACAATTCCTCTGCAGGGGACAGGCGACGTGAGGGCTGAAGGCCAGCCTGCCAGAGGCAGCCCGCCCTCGCCGCAGCCTCCTACCGTGCCTGTCCCAGTCACCACAGCGCACACCCAAACCACCAAGCCTCTCCCTGCAGCTGCGCGTTTCAGGGAAGCGGGAAGGAGAGAGTCTGTGCAGCAGAGGGTACTGAAGGCCACCCCACCACGCGCCCGTCCTCCTGGGGCGGACACCGCAGGGGACAGGGCTGGGAAGCCATGGGGCGGAGCGGGGGTGGGGCGGAGCGGGGGTGGGGCGGAGCGGGGGCGGGGCGGGGGGGGGGCGGGGGGGGGGGGGGGGGGGGGGGGGGGGGGGGGGGGGGGGGGGGGGGGGGGGGGGGGGGGGGGGGGGGGGCAGAGCGGGGGAGGGTGGCACTGACAACAACGCTTTCCACGAGAGCCCAGCAGTGCGGCCTCTTAGATGGTAATCAAACTGATCTAATATTTAAATTAAACCCGTTCCAGGTAAGGGTTTATCTAGGAGCATATGATCCCAGGCCAGCCAATGGTTCCTCATATAAATGGGTCGGGGGTCTCGCAGGAAAGGGTTTTAGTGTCTATGAGAGAGACGTGGCTGAGGAGCTCTGGGTGGGGAAGCTCTTACTGGCTGTCAAAGAAAGAAAGTCTCTTCTTCTAAAACATGGTGTTATGCTGCAAACAGAGATTCTAACCTGGGTGTGTGGAAACCCAGGGCCACCAGGAGAGCCCTGGCCAGTGGCAAGCTGAGGAATCTTGAACAGGAAGGGAGGCAAAGGCTCATTGTAATGGTGACAACCTCCTGAGGCCTGGGAATGGCCCAGCCTCCCAGTGCTGTGCCGCAGTGTGCCCGGAGGCCAGCAGAGAATGGGACAGAGTCAGCCACAGAGCCGGAGGAGCTGCACCGGACCACTTGGGCCTCCCCCAGCCCAAGAAGCCGCACCAGACCATCTGGGCCTCCCCCAGCCCAAGAAGCTGCACCAGACCACCCGGGCCTCCCCCAGCCTGAGGAGCCGCACCAGACCATCTGGGCCTCCCCCAGCCCAAGGAGCCCCACCAGACCATCCAGGCCT